AAAATCATTATTTTAAAAGCTTTACAGAAGAAAAACATTATATGAATTTTTACTAGCAAAAAGAATGCCTCTAGTAAGACAGAAAAGCTCTTCAATTTGTAACAAAGGTAACAGTTATCTTATTACATCAGAGCATGTCATTACATTATATTCCGATACATGTACTGCTTATGTTGGTGTGCCAACAGCATTCCTATTTTTTTTAGTGTCTATAATTGATATAATGAAAGACTTATTCATGTGTAAACATCTCTTATCTATTAAAAATAACATTTTTAAGATTAATATCCTCCGTTGTAAAGGTAAAATAATAAGCAACACCAACAGACATAACAGTAGTAAAACAAGTTTCTTTCTGTAGTGAGCTGATTTTCAATAATTTGTTATATATGAAAGCAACATTTTTATCTTTTTCTTAATAACCCCCCAAAAGGTTCCTTTTAATATTTGATTTCATTTTACAGATGTAATGAATATGATGCCTTCAATGTATTTTCAAAGGATACAGATTATCCATTTTAAACAAAATGCAGTATTGTGGTTCCCCACATTGCACCGATCAATTCCTGAGGTCAGTGAAACTATGCAACAACAGAAATGCCCTATTTCAAGAAATCCCAACCAAAGATGGTTATAAGGCTAAAAGCCTTTCTCTAATACTTCTGAAAAACTGAAATATACCAATTTAAATGGTCACTGATGTTACACGATAACGTCTGTTCTTAATGGAATTCAGAACTGTAGACTATTTTTATTGTTTAATCTCCCAGTTAAAATTATTCTTCGTTTTCCATATTCCTCAGTCAGAAGTTTTTTAATTGTCAGTCAGTAAAGTATGGATTATCCACATATGGATAAGAATTCTCCTTTTTACACATGAGCACACAGCAGTAAGGAAACACATAAGGCACCTAGGCCAGCTGACCATCAGCTCCCAATGCTGCAATTTCAGAATTTTCACTTGTCTTTCAGCCTACACTCAATCCAGTGTTTTCAAATGCATTCCTTTCAAGTAAACCATTTTGCATGGCAAAAAAATAATTAAAAAATTCCAGTGCTGCTTAAGTACTGTCCTTCAGGAAGGTTGATCCTAGAGTTCTCTATTTCAGGACTTCTGTACAAAAAAAGGAGAGCTGTTGGTTGTTGGTTTTTTTTCTAGCTAGAAGTAGTAGCAACAGCCAGTCAAGCTCTAAAATATGTACCTAAGTTCCAAGCAAAAGGCTTATCTGAAGCACAGGAAGAGCTTCCTCATTCTTCTTGCAGAAGCTCTGACTACCATGAACAAAAACATGCAATAATATAACTGAAAATAAAGTAAAAGTCCACCAGAAGTAAATGATTCCTACAAATAGATAAGCATCAGTTTCACAATAAAACCACACCTATTAAATGCAAGAAAGTCTTCTACCCAGTCTTCTCCACAGTATGTCACACACAACAGCTTCCTGCACAAAATTTTAAAGAAAACCTGGGATCAAAAGGCTATTTATTAAGTTAAAAGGTAAGAGTGGGAAAGCCATGGTATGCATCAGGCACAGTAAGAGGGTAAAACTGTTTAGTTCCTATAGGTTTTGTTTAGCTTTAACATAGAAATTTGTATATCCTAGTAACACAAAATAGCTTAAAGCTAAAAATAGCCTTGTAATACATAATTGGAGAATCTAAACTAAGTGAAAATGTAATATATAAAGAATGTTTTTTGTTTCATTGCTCAATATTTTAATTTTTCTTTCATATAGGAAATTAAATAATTACATAATATGTGATTTATCAAATCAAGATGGAAATGCAACAGAAATTGATACTAGCTATAAAAATTATCCTGATTTTAAAAAATAGTGTAATGCCTAAGACCACCTCCCCAAGTATGAAGTAAGTATTAGTATTACATATACACACTCAAATAAAATATAAAAACAACCCCAAACACCCCACAAACCAACAACAACAACAAAAAAATGCCAAAAGAGCTCCTTGACAACACTTGCATACAAAATATTATGGGCTTCTCTGAAAGACATCTAAATGACAACTACAGTATGCTATTTATAAAACAGGGCACAGAACATGGTATATTCCAAAATTCCTGTATTTGAAATTACTGTTTTATGGAGTCAACTTGCTTTAAAAATTCAGAAAATATTTATTAAAAAATTATTTCTCTGTCATTTAACTGCAGTTCATGTAGGGCTTTTTACAGTTTTGTGCACTATAGATCTTTCCAAAAAGCCACAATACTCAGTAATTATGCTAGCTTAGATGCAAAACATCTTCCTAATGAAATGTATTATCTGATGTATGTTTTATAAATTTCTAGATTCTTTTAATGTGATGTTATCTTTTGCAATAAAATATTTTTCTGTAGGTTTCAGGTTTTCAATTAATAACAACCAACATTTAGATGACAAAGGACACGAACAGTTGCTCTTTGCAAAAGCAAAATTAATGGGAAATTAAGAAATAGCTCTCAGTGAATCTTTTTGCAACTTTTCTAGGTAAAGACAATTTCAATTTGAATACTGAATAAAAAAGCTGTAACTTTTAGCTAGATTGTATGTATATTTTAATACATAATTTTCTCCAGCCACAGCAGATGTGTGAATTTGTTTCTCTGGTCATTATTTCCCTAAGAGTATTGCTTTTTTGCAAAAGTATACTGCCTAGAGTAGCTTCGCTACCACAGCACACTTTCCTTTCAGCAAAAAGTCTTGATTTCTACAGTGCCTTCTGTAAACATTGTTCAAAAACTTTTCTATTTAGCATAACTACATGTTTTATCATCCACTAATATTGTGGAGAAAATCAAGTTTGGGAGTGGTAAAAGAAAGTTTTACAATGTGTGCAGTGGATTAATGATATTTTTGTGCATCAAGCCAACAGCAAACCCAAGTACTTCTGTCTTCTACCATGCATCTATACATTTTACTTGAGTAGTGACTGTATTAAGACTTCACTGCATCATGACATACTAACTGAAAGTCTAAATTTCAGATAGTATTCAAGATAAAGCTTGAATAGCCAATTTTAGACAATAAACTCACTTTTTAGTAGAAGTTTAGAAGCACTTCAGCTACAAACAGTCAAGGTTTTTGTTAATCATTAATCAAGCAACTTGTAAATTATAACGATGGTTTTTAATAGTATAACATAGTAGTAGCATTGATCTTCACGCCATTTGAAAACACAGCTGAAGATCAAAAAAAAATTTGATTATTCAGAAAGACAGTAACAGATTCTAGAATCTAAACAGTAACCTTCTGTTGTCCTGGAAATAAACAACAGATGTCTACTTGGAAATGTCACTTGCAGATTTCTCTAAAGTTTAAGCAACTGAAGCTTCCCTAAGCATTCTGCAGAAGACCCTAATTTCTGACTAGCTGCCTCCTTGTTTTTAGAGATAAAGCATTCAGAGTTTCAATAACCTTAGCCCTCTAAAGAGCTTTTCAAACAAACATGCAAATTAACTGAGTGAAGTAAAGGTAATACACAGAGCATGAAATGGGTTTATTTGGCCAGTTCTTTCTGAAAAGACTATTTTGTTCATTGCAAACAATTTCTTCACATATGGAAGACTACTCTGCTGAGAGATCTTGCCTTGGCTCTAGAAAACTTGGTAGTTTATTGGGATTCTGCTTCAAAAAACCTTTTAAATGCCCAATATACACATATGCACAGGTACTTATGAGCTTTAGTATCATTCAGATATCTGGATTTCAAAATTCACACTGGAGTTAATCTTTTTAGGTAAAAAAAGTGAATTAATTACAGTAAATAAGAGGGGAAAAAAAAATTCCCAAGCTATTTCAATTTCCTGTAATCAGCTTGTTTCCTAATGTTTCCTAATGAGAACCACCTTTTTGGCAGTACTACTACAATTTCATTTTGCCTCTTCTTTTACTGTTTATGGTATCCAGAAATACTGCTTAACAGATTGATTACCATCATTCATGACACCCATGATACCTTCTTTGCCAGTACAGAGAACAGTTTCACGCACTGTGGAGAACTGAAAGGTTCACTGGGTCTTCATTCCAAACCTCTTCCTGTTACGACTATGCATACACACCAGCAGGTTACACACAAAATAACCATCTGGAGTTCTGATAAACAATCAATTCCTAAAAATTGCACCAGGAATCTACCAGCAGGGAGTCTGAAGCAACCCTTGGCAAATATCTTCTCTGAAGAACCCAATTAAGAGACCAATCATCAGGAACACATGCTCTGACTGCCAATGATCTACAACTGTTACTTGGGTTTTCCAACAAAAATGAACAAATAAACAAAGTGAATTTAAAAAGACATAGAATGTACCTCTTGTGGCCAAATCAATCAAGTAAAAGCCAAATAAATAAATAAAAAAAAAGTGAAGTACACATAAAATATAGACTTAAAAGTGAATAAATTTCAGAACCTGACCTAGAGTAAAACTCTCAAATAATGGAATGTCCACAAAAATCTAAGGTGGGTGCTCTGTGACAGTCAACCTTAAGATATTTATCATGCACATGTAGGGCATGATCTTTCCCCTCCAAAAATAGAGTCAGGAATGGCAGCTGCTCCATAGCAATCCTAACACACCAGAAAGTAAAGCATGTGGAAAAGCTGGCAGAAGCAGAGCATCCACTGATTTTTTATATAAGCTAGTCAGAATAGCTTTTTAAAAAAAAAAATTTACTCCAACACTTCCACTTTAGTTTAGCAGAAACACTATTTTCCGTGTGTTAAAGTGTGCCCTTTATGCAGGTTTGTACAACAGTCTCTTTTTATGCAAGCAGTAAGTAACTTCAGATTTGGTTTAGGTTTTTTTTAAAGAATGCACAAATCACAGCATTCAACTAAACTGCAGAGGCACAATTGAATGAAAAAAAACTAATGCTTTAGACTTTTTCTCTAAAGCAGTTCACAAAAAGAGCCCACAAATAATATATTTGCATTTTTTTCACAGAAACTGTATAATGGCTTTCAAGGCATGAAAAATATATTAAAATATTACTCACAATTAAGGGATCATCTCGTCCCATTGTAATAACAGTTCTGTTCACTGTGCGTAGCAACTGTAGCATTATTTCTTGAATATGGTGGTAAGTTGATGCCTGTAAACAAAAAAACCACAAACATAACAGTTCTGATATTTAATTCCCACCTCTTGTAAAAGAAGGGAAAAAAAAGTCCACGTTTACAGTGCAAGCTGTATAATATAATCATCCTACTGAAAGAAATGACACTAATTCTTCCTGTTCACACTGTTCTTTGGCTCCAGCAATTTCAATGGAATACTCATTTCACATGGTACAGTCCAATTTTAGCCCTGTGTGTCCCTTAACTGTTTTTTGTTTCAATAGTCACTTCCCACCCCTCCCTCAAGGGACTCCTGTTTTCCCATAACTGAGTAGACTGTAAGTAGCAACACCCTGTTAATAGATAATCAAGGCAAACTGTATCATAGTCACATCATATTTGTCAATGGTCCTCAGACCAGTCTGCATCTCAAAGAATATTCTTAGTTTGCAGCCACAAAAGTTCACGCTTCTTACAGGATAAAGTTTTTTCACTTCACTTTGCAGTTGTGTGTTCAGACTGAAGATGGTCTGGTCTTTGGCCCCATTATGAAAGTCCTGGTCAATCTGGGTGACTGAGGCTACACTAGAAACCCACCAGCTGTCAGCACCAAGTTCTGACTGCAACCCAATGGCAAATATTCCCCAACTCACATCAAATGATAAGTACCTCTGGCATGTTGCCTGCATCTGCTATGCTGCAAGAAATTCTGTGATTCTACAATTTAGCCTCTGTTACAATTCAAGAGATAGTCATTAATCATAGCAGTTCTTATAATGTTAATCAACAGCCAAAAAAAGTCAACTTCATAGTAGCACTTTGCATACTTCCCTTGGGCTTCTTCTTGTAACTTCCTTGGAAGTTACTTGTTCTCTATTTTCCCCCCGTTTTTTGTTTGTTTGTTTGTTTTTTAAAGAAATTCAAAGATGAGAGCTCTTATAATCTAAGTTCACTTCCTTCCACATGACAGTACATGCTATACCACTACTAGTAATGGTTCAGAACATTACACAATGTTGTTAACACTTAGCCAGGCCTCCACAGATGAGCTCTATTCTGAACTGACAAGTAGCACACAACACACTTTTCCTGGAAAATATAGCTTATGCTCACGTGCGCAGATGTTATTTTCTGCTAAGCCTTTGGATTCAGAGAAATGCTAGCAAATTATTTTAAATAGTTTCTTTATGAAATAGACTGCCTGTCTTCTTGATCATCTAAGAAACAATCTAGCATTCAATACTGACACTGAGAACTTAAACAAAAAAAGTGGTTTCACACATTGCCTATACACAAGATTTCAGTTTCTATCTTAACTGACATTCCAGCTTCAGAAGACAGTCTAACAACCCACTGTAACATGCAGTTTTTTAGATCATGTTTCACTCCACAAGGATGACATGGTTTTTAGTGAAACCTGGAAAACTCTCCATTTGGCTGCAGTCCATTTGGTTAAACACAGGACTTTTCAGAAGCTAAATTAACAACTTTTACCATATAAAAACCCTCCCTAGAAAAACATTAACTCTGTCATTCTATTTAATGGAATATGGTCATCAAAAGCATATGCTTGTCTTGACTGTTGAAAAAGATTTGCTAGATGACCAAGGCATGAAACAATCAGAGCTAATGCATGGTACACTGGTCAGCAGTAGGAAGTTTTCTCACAGAATTCAAATGGCTTCAGATTCGTTGACAGGGTGAATGACACACTGACACACATAAACGAGTTAATAGAAAAAACAAAACCAAACAAAATTTTACTCTAAAAGTAGCTGTGCAGGTAATAGCAGTGTTTGATTTACCTTTCATGTTCTATTTAAACTTCTACAGGGTTGGGACAAGAATTAGAATCATTCTGTTGCTCCAGAGTCAACCAGGCACTTCAGAACATGGTAGAGGGCTCATTTATTTGGACAGTGACAAACATGGACTAACTGAATGGCTGCTTCAGAATATATATTACATAACCTGTACTTGAGATACTCACTTGGAGATACCTCTTTGGTCAATTGGTTTCAGCTGTCCCAACTGTGTCCCAACCCAAGCTCTTGCCCAACTCTAGAACAGGGTAGAGAACTGGAGAAGGCCTTGACACTGTGCAATCACTGATTAGCAATAACTAAAATTTTTCACTACTGGATTTAAACCTACCCCAAGGAAATTTTCTCCTTACCCTAGAAATTCATCAGTATTTATTGCAAAAACAATCTGTAGATATCTGCCACTTGACTCAGAGAGACTCTCCAGTTTACAGCTTACCTTCTTTTTAAGAAGCTTTTGAAGAAATGTGTCTCATTTTAAAAAAATGTGAACGTGTTTGGGGTTTTTTTTAACGCATGTGTTTTAAATTCTCAGCAATTTTCATGGCATAATGGGTAACAAGTTGCCCAAAAAGCCATTGTTTGTTATAATGCAAAAGAGGTTTGCCTGGCTACCTCCTTCAATAGGAGTAAAAGCACAGAATGCATAACATGCTTTTAAACAATGTCATCCTATATCAATTACATTATTTTTATTGGATTGTTAAAAGTCTGAAGTCCAAACCTGTGAAAATTACAATCTCTCATTAAACCTCTGGTCTCTGTGTTCAAACATACAAAGCAAACTGATCAATGAAAAATAACCCTATTAGTGAAGATCATGCTCTCCTTAATGACAAAATGCATTTGATTTTAAACCCAGCTAAGCATTTCCCCCCTAACAAGCAGGGAAAACATCTGAAGGAAAAAATTAAGTGAGTTCTCAGCACCACCATGCTAACCAAAGAGTTTTTCATTTAAATGCTCTGAAATAAATTCTGAAGATCTAATTTATTTTATAAGTCCTTGCAGTATATGCACATGAACTCATTTGCAGAACTGTCCAAAGAAGCACTCAAACCTCTCAGCCATGGAATTTATTAAAACAAACGCTTTTCTTTAACCATCTTTGCACTTCATTTACACCTTATTTCTATAGACATTTCTATAGGAGATGTATCAGTTGAGCTATAGGTCATATTCCACCCTTCAAGCCTGACGTTTTTACTAATATTGAGAACAAAAAAAACAGCAATTGAAATTGGGTTTTTCCCCAAGATAGAAAGTTACAAGCATTTCTAAAAATGAACAAAAATATTCATTAGTAAGAATTCTACTCAGCAACTGGTTTTGTGCCAACCATCATACCTAAAATATGAGTAAGACACAGGTTGACTGAGATATTTTTCTTTAGAATCAGTAGTTTAAGAAATACATTAAATGGGATGCCTTTTCAAAAAACCCTACATTTTCTAATGTTTCTTTTCTGGAAAACAGCCCATTGAGATTCTACACCATTCTGGATACATCAGTTCCTGTTCCTGGAAATGGCACATCAGAATCTGCAAAACAAACTCCAGACTCCATGGGACTACACATATAGCCAAAAGAATTTGACTTCATGCTGTGCTGCAAACAGCAATGCTGTCACTCTTGCAAACATGAGCCACAAATCCTTTTATTGATATATCCGAATTGATACAGTCATACTTGATAACACGTCTTTAACAAACCAACTACTACTACTTTGGAGAGCAACTGTTTAAGTTTGTTTTCAAACTTGATTTGTGTGGTAAGGATGCAGAGCATATTCATCTATCTTGTTTTGCAACTGTGTTTGACCTTTAGCTCAGGCAAAACCAGAAGGTATTCACAAAATAAATAACTTTATTAATTATGGTCTATTGTGAGATCCCCCTGCTTATTGTAGAGGGGTTGGACTAGAGGATCTGTATGGGTCCTTTCCATCCCAACACATTTTATGATTATATTTCAGCACTTATTCCACTAAACTTCACCAATCAAAACTAAAGGTGTTTAAACAACTTCTAGGAAAAAAACAAAGCAGCCTCACTGCTTTTACTTACACTATGGTGATTGACAGCAGATATTAAAAGAATATAAAATTGAGAAATAAATAAAATAGCATAGATTTCAGTACCTCACCTTAAATATCTCAACTGCCCTTTAACTTAAGTTTATGAAAAATAGGAGAAAAATTCAATTTGCCACTGACTTGTATTAAAAATTAAGATGACATTCATCAGCATCAATAATTCACTACCTCATCAGCTCAGGGTTACTACAGATTTGGGCCATCTGTGTCATCATCAATACTTACAGGGTCTTGGCAGCTCAGAACCTCCAGGATGCTGTTGAGTAATTCAATACAGTACTTCTTCTCTTGGATTTGGAGCTGCTGATCATCTTTGTGTTCCAGCAATTCTTTCAGCTCTTTTGTAATCACAGGAAGCAGAATGTCCCTGCATTCTGAAAGAAAACAAATTATCTTAAGAAAATAAATCAAATACCACTGGCAAATAAACCCTCCTCTAAACAGTGAAATACAATATGCTTTAACAACTACAGTCTCTTTCAACATGGAATTGTTGATTTTCCAATCATGCCTCAGGGACACTCTTAAACTTGTGTGAAATTTTGCATTATTTGTCATATACGAAAAACACAACCTCCTGATTAAAATAATTTGTTTCAGTTAAATTCTGGAGGCTGTTTAGCTTGCCCCGAAGACTTAGGAACAAATAAATCCTTTCACATACAAAGCACCTAGAAATAAGTTATGTTTAAGCAGTGACAAGAGTTTAACATTGGAAAAATTCAATACTTATTATCCTGTCTGAAAATAAGACAAACAGCAACAGAATTGTTCTTTGCAGTAATTTTGAAACATCCTTTCTAAGAACACATAAAAGAATGCAGACAAGGAAAACATTAATGAAACAGCTATCAAGCCTGTCAGAGCAAGAAGTATGCATACATCCGTCGTTATTTAAAACCAAGGAAGCTGACACAATTAGTAATTTGCATTTCAATCTCACGTTCATCTGCTTTTTAAGACAGAGGTGCTTATCATAAATGTTGGGAGGATAAAATGCACAAGCTTGAAATAAATTCAAAGAAGGTGCTGTCTACCTAGGAGTACAGGACACAGAAGACTTTCTTTTCTAATTTAATTCATACCTGCCACTGAGTGATGGAAGCAGCAACTTACTTGTACAGTGCTATATAATTAAACAGAGTACCATGCAGCAGTGTGAACAAATGCTTCAATGATTTGTTATGTTTATTAACATAACCTGGGAAGAAAACAGAGCTAAATGTAGCTTCAAAGGTTCTACCCAAGAGTAAGATCAGTGTAGAACTACAGAAGCATTCTAGTCAAAGTCAGCTGAAGTTCTTACTAATTTCCACTTAACTGATCTCTTAGTGCTTTAAAGTCTTGTCTTGACTCTTTGGAAGAAGCAACAAGAGAAATCTTAGTTAACATCCAAATTACAGACTCACTAAAAAACTAGTTAAATAACACATATCAACACAAGATCTATAAAAAGAGCAGCATAAAAAGAAATTTCACACACCTTATAGCTCATTTGTGTGACCAGTTGCACACATCAACAAGCTTCCTGCACTGAATGCACTAAGAGGATGCAATGTTATAAGCACATACCTGCTTCACACCTACTGGAATAAACATATATATTTGCTCCTACTCCTCCAAAAATAATATCCAGATCAATTTTTAAACCATTAAAATCTCCCTTGAAATATCTGACATCTAGCAAATATAAACATTCTCTTTGGATAGCTTTTGAAGCTGCAGGAACCAACCAAATAATAAATCTTAACAAGAACCTAATCTTAACATGCTTAATTTCAAAAATAAAGTAAGATACTAGACTTAAAGCCACTGATCAAGGAGAACCCTGTATTCTAGCTGAACTACATTTTGAGTACTCCTGGACCAAAAAAATATTAGGACTTTAAGTATTATGTGTATTTTAATCACACTCCTCATGCCAGTGATATCTATTTGACCAATAATTGGGAAGTCTTAAATCAAAAGTTAAAAGCTGCACTGGACACTGTAAGGAGGAGGAGAAGTAAGCTTTACTGAATGTAAAGCTCCTCTATACCACAGTTTCAGAAGCCATTTTAAAACTTTTCCTATCAGAATGCAAAATGTCCACTGTTGTCTATGAATCAGCAGGACCAGGGAAGCGAGTGTCCCCCTGTATTCGGTACTGATGAGGCCAAACCCCAAAGCCAGTGTTCAGTTTGGGGCCCCTCACTACAAGAAAGATAATGACATTCTGGAGTGCATCCAGAAAAGGACAACAAAGCTGGTGAAAGGTTTAGAGAACAACTCTACTGAGGAGTGGCTGAGGGAACTGGGCTTTTTTAGCCTGAAGAAAAGGAGACTGAGGGGAGACCTTATTGCTCTCTACAACTACCTGAAAGAAGGTTGTAGACAAGTGGGGGTTGGTCTTCTTTCCCAAGTGATATTTTGAACAGAAACCGCCCCAAACACACTTGCCCAGGGTTGAGTCACAATCCCCAGAGGTATTTAAAAGATGTGCAGACATGGTGCTTAGGGACATGGTTTAGTGGTGGATGTGGCAGTGTTAGGTTTATGATTGATTGGACACAATCTTCAGGGTCTTTTCTAAACAAAATGATTCTTTGGTTCCCTGATTGAGCAATCCACATCTACACAACTCCCCTCACAACCCAAGAAAGCTCAAGACAGAGGGGAGAGACATGATGGGGGGGCAGATGCCTATTTAAATACTAGCTATTTTTTTGCTTGATAAATGTGGTGGTAAGATGGCCACCAGACAGAAACTCTTTCTCAATGTTCAAACCTATGAAAAAAACAACTGTTCTGACTGGATTTTTTTTTTCTACAAGCCTGAATGAAACATGCTGCCCCAAAATGTATTTGTACACCTAAGACATCAACATGCAGGTTGACTACCTTGCATTTATTTCAAGATGTCCACTGTTGTCTATGAATCAGCAGGACCAGGGAAGCGAGTGTCCCCCTGTATTCGGTACTGATGAGGCCAAACCCCAAAGCCAGTGTTCAGTTTGGGGCCCCTCACTACAAGAAAGATAATGACATTCTGGAGTGCATCCAGAAAAGGACAACAAAGCTGGTGAAAGGTTTAGAGAACAACTCTACTGAGGAGTGGCTGAGGGAACTGGGCTTTTTTAGCCTGAAGAAAAGGAGACTGAGGGGAGACCTTATTGCTCTCTACAACTACCTGAAAGAAGGTTGTAGACAAGTGGGGGTTGGTCTTCTTTCCCAAGTGATATTTTGAACAGAAACCGCCCCAAACACACTTGCCCAGGGTTGAGTCACAATCCCCAGAGGTATTTAAAAGATGTGCAGACATGGTGCTTAGGGACATGGTTTAGTGGTGGATGTGGCAGTGTTAGGTTTATGATTGATTGGACACAATCTTCAGGGTCTTTTCTAAACAAAATGATTCTTTGGTTCCCTGATTGAGCAATCCACATCTACACAACTCCCCTCACAACCCAAGAAAGCTCAAGACAGAGGGGAGAGACATGATGGGGGGGCAGATGCCTATTTAAATACTAGCTATTTTTTTGCTTGATAAATGTGGTGGTAAGATGGCCACCAGACAGAAACTCTTTCTTAATGTTCAAACCTATGAAAAAAACAACTGTTCTGACTGGATTTTTTTTTTCTACAAGCCTGAATGAAACATGCTGCCCCAAAATGTATTTGTACACCTAAGACATCAACATGCAGGTTGACTACCTTGCATTTATTTCAAGGTCAATCAAAATATATTGTTCTATGTATTTATCAACCCTAAATTCCAACACACTTCTTGAAGAGAAGCTCCCTGGTAACACCTTCATGCACAAGGATCAGTTGATTCATTCTGGTAAAAGATTAAGCAGTTACATGTTTTCAGTTTAAAGTTCAGTTTGTTTGTTGAGTTTTCTTAAACCTTCTGTTCACCTTATTCTATTTCAGCAGATACCTGCTGATTATTTCTGTACCAGGTAAGTGAAATTCAACCCTAAGTCATTAATGCAATAATGTCATTAAACAAGACATTTAGGTCTCCTTCAGAAAAAAAAATGCAGATGGATTTCATTCCTGGCTGCCTCACATGTGCAGCCAAAATGGTAATAAAGGTTTAACACCACTTTTTTTTTCCCTTGGGAAACTCTACTCTCGATTCCCTGGCATGCCTGTAGTCATAACCATCTGTTAGGATGGCTTCATGCCCACTTAAGAACTGGCACACCAATTTAATAAGGACATAGGTGTCATCTGAACACAGATTTAGAGCAAAGCCTTAAAAATAAAACCTGTGAACTACATAGTTTCAATAAGGAGAGACTTCTGATGGTACTCAGTGCTCAATTAAAGCACCATCCTTGTTCACAAAGGACATCTGTTTATAGCTACAGGCATCTTTATATTGAAAGCCTTCCCTCTTCATTATTTGCCTTTTAAATCTGTTGGAAACCCAGAAGTCATTAATCTAAAAATGCATATATTTTATTTATTGCTAAATCTAAATTTAAATCTCACAGTTTAGATAAAAGCCTCAGGGGATATCTACGTAGGTCATCTACAGGCACTTAACAGCACTTCAAGATGCAAACACTTAGTTTCCTGGAATCCAATGCTAACATAGGAAGGAGAAACACAATGGTGGATCCTGTGAAGCCAGCTCACAATACTGTTGTTGACAGTTAAAAACAAGTGCCAGCAAGGAAGGTTAGATACAGAATAGGTATGGCATTAATGGTCACAGCACACCACTGAAGAATACATCCACTTGCCAAATTCAAAGCATATGTTCAAGCTTCTCTACTCTTCATGGGAGCTGAATAATGACATGTATTTTAAGGCAGCCAGAGCAACATCTAACACTATCATCCCTGTAGCCAAAACAACACTTAGAGTGTTCAGAGCCTTTTCCAGTCAGCAATCATTACAGCCTGCCACAAACTCTTGTCAGCATATCCTCTCTGGCAGATGCAAAAGTTTACTTTGTGCTTGTGCTATGGAATAATGATGAATTCCAACTTGCAAGTTTCCACATTTCATTTGATTGTCACAAAATATTCACTAAAATATCAGCTTCATACAAACTTGTGTACTAAGATTTTGTTCTCTCTTTCATATTTGAAGTAGCTGTACAGAGTTTTTACAAGTGTATTTATAAGTTCAGTGTTAAAACTAGTTGACCTAACTTCATTTAGATTTCCTTCCATAGATAAAGATATTTATAAAACTGTAACCAAAAAATGCCACAATACGTCATGTCTAACAAAAAGTCACCAGCAACAATATGAATCACGTCACTTACTCCTTCACAAACAGGATAAATTAATAGTTTTAATCTACACATGTTCGTCACAAATGTATGCAGAGACATATTCAAGGAGATATTCATATGCCATCCTTATCCATACCA